AATAATATAGACCACTCTGACTCTGACTAACTTAAACGTTCTTGTCTTTTTTTTGTAATATTTTTACCAGGTTTGAATTAAAAATATAATACTATTTAAAAAGCTGTTCTTTTTTTAGATTACCAATATTACCGTAATATTTCGTAATATTACCGGTAATATTACCGATTTATAAATTACCGGTATTTACATCACTACATTTAATGTAACCGAAACTTGTTTTTCTGCACCAAAGTAATATTTCGTATCAAAATTTGATTTATGATTCAAACTTGGCGCCTTGGAGATAGCGACAGGTATATAAACACTACGCAGAGTTTCCAAAAATAAACTATGATAATTTAATCAAAGTACAATATGTCCTATTTTCAAGCAAGAGCTAAATGCTGTCCTTCTAAAAAATGCAACTATAACAACTTATACGGATGAACAACAAGCGCTTGTAACTTGGAATGGCTTAATAGTCTTCAGCCCCATACTCACTATGGATTGATGCGCCGATTGAATGCGTCAATGGATCGATGCACGTATGGTGAGTATGATGCTGTTCTTCATCTCATACCCATTATGCGTTAATGCGGTTCGTCGCGATTCTTTTTTTTTAATAATAAGGTACCGTCCTCTGCCAGAAACTCTGAGACCTGTGAACAGGGTTCGGAAATAATTAATTAAGACGTCATTAACTACTTGTAGTTTTTCTTCAAAAACTACGTCTTTTTTCGTTCATTAACGATATGAAAACTTCTTTAATAAAATACGTAATGATATTACGATAGAAAAACCATCCTGTAAATAAAAAGGTTAATTTTGATAGAAAACATGTAATAGGTACATAGGATTTTTATTTAATTAAAGAAGTATAGATTCATAAAAAATAGAACATACTAGGTAAGGCAATATATTCAAATTGTTATAAAATACGAAAACTCGAAATATTTTAACACAACCAAAGTAACTACAAATATGAAATATAAGATTTTAATCACCTAGTTAGGTATTCCTGGTGCGTCTCAAAAGTAGTTCACCCCCTATAAATTTTTTATTTTTTCAGATAAAAAAAACGAGATTTGGTATGTTAGTCTATGACATAAATTAGGATTGATTGACGTATTGAATTCTTTTCGGTCACTTCCTGTTTCACCGGAAATGACTGCAACTTTTGATTTTTAAATGGCACCCTCGGTATTTTTTTACTTTACTCGATAGAAAATCTCACTCTGAATCGAATGACATATCATATGTCAGCTTTTGACATATTCGCTCAAAAACAAATTGTATTTTAAATTTCAATCTAGTGTGCAATGGCCGTGTTAAAAACACTAATTTTTAATCAAGAAGCCTTGGAAAAATAGATTTGATCGCCTAATGTTTTTACTGTCTTGTCCTCTGGCAGGTTAAAAGATGCCCAAATGGTATTTTAAATCATATCTCAATTTTTTCAAATGGAACGAAGGTGGCTCATTAACATATTTGGAAAAAGCATTTTTTTACGAATAATTTGATACCATACACTTGGTATTGGTACAAGTCAAATTGGCATTATGAACCGCATGTTACAATTTCAAATAAACCATATGAAAAAATGTCAAAAGTTGACATATGATGCGTCATTCTATTCAGAGTGTCATTTTCTATCGAACAAAGTTAAAAATACCAAAGGTGCCATTTAAAAATCAAAAGTTGTAGTCATTTCCGAGGAAACCGGAAGTGACCGAAAACAGCTGAATATGTCAATCAATCCTAATTTATGTCATATATTAACATACCAAATCTCCTTGTTTTATCTGAAAAAATAAAAAAGTTAGAGGGGTGAGCCACTTTTGAGACGCACCCGGTACGGGTATAGTAGGTAGCTTTGTCAAGACTTTGTAGAAAATATTTTTCAACCTGCTATTTTTCTAAAGCTTCAACTTATTATAACCTCGCCACAAACCTGCCTCAAACAATTGATATTTGAAAGTTATATAAACTACACCCTCTACATCGATTAACTACATGTAATGTATTTTTTTGGGATTTAATAGTAACCTGTGAGGCCTATTGTGTTTGTCCCCTTTTATGTGTGCATCCATTCTCCTATCCGTGTACCCTGCACCAATCTGTACAGGTCCTTGATAGGATGGGGCCAAGAACGGTAAACTAATAGGATTGCTCATCCCCATAAAGGCTGATTCATGGTACACCGGGCCGTACCCGAGCCGGGCACGTTCCGTAAAGTAGACACCGAGCCACGTCCGGGCCTTCAATATATGCTACACCGAGTGAACAACGGGGATCATGTCCGTGCCGATTATATTCTAGAAAACAGTGTTGCCGCAGTGGTACATTTGTACCAAATTTGATACTTTTAATTCTATTTGGTACAGTGGTACTACATTTTCAAATCCAGGATGATTTGGTACAATAATTATTTCCCACGCGCACCGAAAATGAATAGATATTTAATAATTATTGTCGTTGATATTGCATTAAACGCGCTTACCGATACCATTCGGAGAAAATCCGCATTAATTAACGACGTATTATAAACGTTGTAATGTCTATAGCGTTGCCTATATTAAATAACCCGAAGAAAAAACTTGAAAATTTACTGTTTCTAACATGCTTCTATATTTGCGTTTTTTTTAAATAAAATTTAAGTTTTCCAAGTATTGTGTGTAGTATTAGAATTACTTAGAATTCTTCAACCTATACATACTTATAATTGGGTTTTCTGAATTTCTATTTCATGTTTTTCGTCTCGATTTGTGTCTTTCTCCAGGAAGTTTTTTTATGTAGAAATTTATGAAGAAATTCACAGCGACCAAACCGGTTAAAGTCATATGCAGATGTATTTTGTTGTGCTTTAAAAAATTGTACCAAAGTGGTACATTTTTAGTTTATAATGTGGTACGCGCTAAAAGTTGGGTGCGGCAACACTGCTAGAAAACAGCCGCTATAGGCCCGTAGATGAACGAAGTATTTAGCCCGGGCGACTTATTTATGTTTGCCGCAACGGGCCGGACCGTAGCGGATCCGAGGAAAAATGTACACCGACATTTCTCGGACGGGGCACGGACGCGTTCCGGCGAAGCTCGGCCCGTGCTCGGCTTAGCATGAATGCATAAGTATAAATAACATTTGACAATGTTTGACCGTGCCTTCACCGCCGCACGGCCCCGGCCCGTCACGGTGTACCATGAATCAGCCTTAAGACGTACGTTCGCTTCTTCCCGCGCTTGAGCTGACAGTTGTGACGTCATTGTAGCCCTTGTCAAAGCCTTCGTGGCCTTGTCATGATAGTGTGTATTATTAGTTGCCTATGGTAAACTTATAAAAATAACAGCTGAGAAATTTTGAGTTAATTATTTTGTCAATTTTAAATGTGAAAAAGGTGTCTTTAAAGTTTTTAGAGCTACAGAGTGTATAAATACGTTCATTTTGTGTTGTGGATTGTGACAAAGTGCATACTAAGTGCCCACGATTTTAATAACCTTCTAATAACCATGACAAGGGCTACAATGACGTCACAAAGCGAGTAGTTTTCGCATGCACCTGGCGGACACTTTTGGCTGAATGAGCAGTCCTATTAGGTTAACTGTTCTTGGGATGGGGCATAGTTCCTTTGATTCTAGCCTTACTTTCCCAAATAAAAAGTGTCGCTTGCGATCCAGAGCCTCGCAGTGCATATTATGTGCTCTGAAGGATCCGCTGTTTCAGGATCTTTATTGCAGAGTCTGCAGCAAATACTTTCTTGATACAGTTTGAGCTTGTTCAGGTAGCACTTGACAGCCATATGTCCTGTCAAGAGGCCTGTTGTAATCCGCACTTTATTCCTGCTAAGCCATGTAGTCTTAGAATTATGTTTTGCATAAAGGCCTTGCTCTGCCTGTGCCCCCCTGACTGTTTCTCTGATTTTCCCTAATCATTCTGATTCAATATATAATACACATTGATTTCTGATTTTCCCTAATCCAGAGTTTTAGTGCACTACCGGCTACGGGCCATACATTTTATTATATTCGGTCGGTATTCGCAGTACTGATCTGCGATTCTTTAGTTCTAGTATATACCGGGTGCGTCTCAAAAGTTGCTCACCCATATAACATTTTTATTTTTTCAGTTAAAAAAACGAGATTTGGAATGTTACTATATGACATGAATTAGGATTGATTGACGTATTCAATTGTTTTTGGTCACTTCCTGTTTCACCAGAAATGACTACAACTTTTGATTTTTAAATGGCACCCTCGGTATTTTTTAACTTTATTCGAGAGAAAATGACCTTCTGAATAGAATGACATATCACATGTCAACTTTTGACATTTTTTCTTGATTAAAATCTTATTTTAAATTTCAATCTAGAGTGCCATGGCTATGTTAAAAACACTAATTCTTAATCAAGGAGCCTTGGAAATAATATAGATTTGATCGTCGCATGTCGTCACAAATCGTATTTTTAATCATATCTCAATTTCTTCAAATGGAACGAGGGTGGCTTATTTGGAAAAAGCATTTTTTACGAATAATTTGAGACCACACACTTGGTATTTCGAGTCAAAAAAATTTTCGGTATAAACCTCAAATTATAATTTCAAATAAACCATATGCAAAAAAATCAAAAGTTGACATATGATATGTCATTCTATTCGAAATGTCATCTTCAATCGAATAAAGTAAAAATATAGCGAGGTTGCCATTTAAAAATCAAAAGTTGTAGTCATTTCCGGTGAAACAGGAAGTGACCAAAAGCAATTGAATACGTCAAACAATCCTAATTTATGTCATATACTAACGTACCAAATCTCGTTTTTTTAACTGAAAAAATAAAAATGTTATAGGGGTGAGTCACTTTTGAGACGCACCCGGTATAGACTGATCATATTATATATTGATTTGATTGTTGATTTGGCCCATCATACACGAGCAAAATGTACACAAACTGTTAGTTTATTTGTATTTTGATTTGATCACAATATTTTAAAAGAATTATGCATAACGTATTTTTGATTTTGTTTCAGAGGGACAGGTACAACAATACGGTGAAGTAAACCAGCTAGGTGGTGTGTTTGTAAATGGCAGACCACTACCCAACGCCGTTAGATTGAGAATAGTGGAGCTATCTCAAGTGGGTATAAGACCCTGTGACATCTCCAGACAACTAAGGGTATCCCACGGATGTGTATCCAAAATACTAGCCAGGTAGAATTCAATAAAAAATATAAGTAACTAAAAATTATTGTCATGCTATTTCCTATTTTCTAAATGAAATATTAATAAGTCGTTCAATCATAAAAATATTCTATTTTATTCAGTGTAAGATTTTTGATTTAAACTTTAACCCCATTTCCAGATACCACGAGACGGGTTCCATCCTCCCCGGTGCCATCGGTGGTTCCAAACCGCGGGTGACCACGCCCAAAGTGGTGGCCTACATCAAAGAGCTCAAGCAAAAAGACCCAGGAATATTTGCCTGGGAAATTCGGGACAGACTACTATCCGACGGTGTGTGTGACAAATACAATGTTCCTTCTGTCAGTTCAATCAGTCGGATTCTAAGGAACAAGATAGGATCGATAATACATGGGTCTTCGCATACCCATTCTTTCTATAGCAGTTATCCCACCTACCCCTATTTGCAACAGAAATCCCCAACTCATACGGTAAGATATACTTTAAGATCTTGTTATAAGTCAACTTATGTAAAGCTGTTATGCTAAAGCCGGTCCCAGACACTACGTGCATTTGGCGAATATTCGGTATTCGAGCTTATTCGCGTAGCGTGTGGGAGGTTACCTTCGACGAAGATTCGTACTTCGTCATTTTCCCGGCGGTTGTCGGTAAACTGGCACCAATCAAAGGAGCTCGTTGTGCGGCGTAGTCAACTTCGGAATTACTCCCAGACACTACGGCTATTTGTTTACGTGCTTTTTGTTTAGGTTATTTTTGTTTTAACGGCACGCCTCCCTCAGTTCACTTGTGTATTGCATTGGTAGCGGGTTGATTTCCATTTTCTTTATTACTCCAAAATGGAATGGACAAACGAGTTAACTTTGGAGTTTTTGCAATTATTTGAGAGTGAACCAGTGATTTGGAATCCACAGATTCCAGATCATAAACACAGGAACAAAGTGGCTGATGGCTGGAATGTTAAATCAAAATTTATCATGCTCTTCTTCATTGTCCATTTTGAACTGCAACAGCACTGAAAATCAAGACGTTGCGCGACGGCGTTGCTCTACTACGGGAAATATTTGTCATTGGACGCATTTTTACAAATAACGTAGCGTGTGGGAAGGTGGCCGAAGCCGCAGTACATAATTCGAATGTTCGCACATTCACCAAATGCACGTAGTATCTGGGACCGGCTTTATATGTATCCAACTGCTTTTTAGAAATAACAGTTGCAGACAGCTGATGACTTGCTATAAGTTAATTAACTGATACTTCTAAGTAACAGCTACAACTGTTACTTAGAAACAGTTGTACATACATACAACTGTTGACTAGCTATAGTCAACCTAATTATACAGGGTGAGTCTTAAATAAGTGCAAATATTTTCAGGGGTGGTGTATCCCAGACACATCTATGAGATTTTTTTCGCAAAAAAAAGATGTTGGAAATCGTGCATTCTTTTAAATTTCCCTGTATATTTTTCGAAAGCTTTTTAGAACTGCCTGTTCAACGCAAATTTTCCCACGGTATAAACCCACGTCTCAAAATTTTTCAAAAAAAAACAATTTTTTTTTTAATTTTCAAATTTAAATAACTTCAGTTATTTTGGCCTTATTTGAAAAATGGTAAAGAGAAAATATGTTTCTTTTATCGAGATCTACCAGCCCTGAAAATATTTGCACTTATTTAAGACTCACCCTATATAAAGTTGTATACCGGGTGCGTCCCAAAAGTGGCTCACACCTATAACTTTTTTATTTTTTCAGATAATAAAACGAGATTTGGCATGTTAGTATATAACATAAATTAGGACTGATTGATTGTTTTTGGTCACTTCCTGTTTCACCGGAAATGACAACAATTTTTTATTTTTAAATGATACCCTCGGAATTTTTTTACATTAATCGATAGAATATGTCACTCTGAATAGAATGACATAATATAATATGTCAACTTTTGATATTTTCGCATATGGTTTATTTGACATTGTAACATGCCGTTCATAACGACAATTTGACTCGAAATAGCAAGTGTGTGGTCAGTGGCGGATTAAGGGCGGGGGGGTGCGGAAGGGGCGGTCCGCCCCGGCCCCGTCTTTCAGGGAGCCCCCGAAACTTCATAAGTACCTATTTTTTATTCAACTGGCAAACAAGAAAACAAGGCAATGCGTTCAGTAGATATGAAGCAATTTGTAGATGGAGTATGCAAACCATACGTATACGCAAACTATAAACAGTATAAATGGAAGCAGATATTTACTTTATTATCAATTATCAGGCCCCAGTAATTGTCAATGGCATTTTCTATTTAGGAAATTAAATCAAGGGGTAATTTTCTTTGTTTAAAATATCGAATAATTATTATTTTTTATATATTTTGAGACTGAATTTACTTATTTTAGCTTTTAAGTTATTTTTCAATGGTTTGGTTTGGTTTGGGCGGGGGCCAAGTATAACGGGGGCCAAGGGCCTGAGACAGCGAAGGGGCCCCTCGGATCTTGGAGGACTTACAAAATAACTTACAAAATAAACTTGCGAAAGTAACGCGGGTCATATGGTCTATACTCTGTTTTTTTTCTCAGGTAAGATTTCGACAGACGATGACAGAAGAAAAGCAGATGACGTCCCATACCAATCTATTTATTTTACTAAAAAAAGTTTCTAATAATTTTTAAGTTATCTATGGATGGGTTTAAATATAAATCCGTCATACGTCGTGTCTTGTTGTTTTTAACCAGTTTTATTGGTTTATTTAAAAAAGACAGATCGTATTTCAATTTTATTGGTTTGACGGAACGATGAACGACAAACGGACGCCGATGCGTATGAACTCGCCTTTAGATTTTTGTCATTTTTGACGCTTGTCAAAGTCTTGCCAAATTATAGGTTATAATTTTGTGTCAACTTTTGTTAAATACCCTGCGTTTTGGAAGATGATGCATTTTGATTCGTATTATTACGTGTGTTTTGTGTCTTTTGAAGTCAAGTGGAGGAAAAATCGAGTGAAAATTAACTGTAGACCCAGAGCACAGTTTATGGTTAATACTCGCTGCCCAGGCAGAAAGTCTTATACACCAATGAAGTTGCCATCGATAAAGTTTGTATACCATTTCGTCGTAGATAAGTGCATCTCGTATATGGTAGAAGGATCAAACTAAACACATACTAAAAACTGGAGTAGCTGTAAAATATCGACATCACACGATAGGTAAATAATGGATTTTAGTACCTACTGCAGAAAAATAATGTCAAAAGGTACTGGTTTAAAAAAATTAAGATTAAAGTTAATTAATCAACCTTTAAGGTATAAAATTTGGTAGGTGTTATTACTAATAAAATAGTTTGTTTTATTTACCTATGTTGTTTTATTTATTCCTGTGGAAGATTACAAATTTGTATTTGTACATAAGTTATATTGATAAATATAATCATAAATGCGGGTAGTTTCATAAAGCTTGAAAGTAAAAATTAGTTCTTTTTATATTTTTTGGTATGTAGTGTCTTGTTCTTGTTTGTTTTGTATTAAAACATACCGGTTTTATTAAATAAAATAACTCGATTACATTTTTTCAGTTTTATACAGTTTTTTTCACAATATTTTGAAGTAATCACTTGTCATCTTGTCAATCAAATTTTAAATATTTCCTGCTATGCGTTCCAGTTGTACCAACTTATTTCTTTGTAAAATAAAATAAACTACTTTGAAATTAAAATGACAGACACATCTATCACTGTCAAGGATCTTCTCGATGGACAGACTATATATCTATCATTAACTATTTTTGAGAAAAAAATAAATTTAAAATTTTTGGACGAAAAAAACTACCTATCAAAAAAAATTGTACAGCCTAAAAGTCAATATTAGTGATTATCACAGCCACTGTGACATAAAGAAAAGACATGTGGCTATCTATTTCAAAAATTAAATTGTTCAAATGTCATATAATAATGGCGGTAGCTGTCATGGAGTTGATAATTCGTTACGTTTTAACTATACATATTTATTCGTATACCTAAAATAAATCGTTTTTAAGTTATTTAAGATTTAGTTTGAAAACGTATATTTTTCTTGATTTTATCTAGCTTCCTTTGACATTGAGTATCAAACAGTCAGTTATTTATTTACATCTGTCAGAAAACGAATTATTTGAATTTCCTATATTATAAATACTGCTGCTTAAAAGTTTAAAAAGTGTATTTATACAAATATATCTCGTATTTTCGCTCTTTAGTGATATATAATAGTTGATATTTTAATAATATACCCTATGATCGAAAAAAAGCAGCGCAAAGTTGGCTTGGAAATGATGATCGATAATATACTGTCATAGGCTAGTGGTTAAAATCAAGAAAAATATACGCTTTAAAGCTAAATCTTAAATAACTTAAAAACGATTTATTTTAGGTACAGGAACATGTATAGTCAAAAAGTAACAAATGTTAAAAACGAAAGTAACGAAAGCCTTTTCAAGAGTGAAATAAAAAAGTGGATTTCCATTTGAAAAAAATGACTTATGATAATTTTTTAATCGCTCAATTCCATGACAGCAGCGGCCATTATTATATGACATTCGGACAATTTAATTTTTGAAATATATACAGTGGCTGTGGCAATCACTAAATTTGACGTTTAGGCTCTATACATCTTTTTCGACAGGCAGTTTTTTCCTCCAAAAATTATAAATATTTTTTTTCTCAAAAACGGTTAAAGTTAGGTATAGAGTGTTTAATATCAAAATTCATAATATTTTACAGAAAATTTAAGTAGGTATGTAATAAAAAATGGGGGCACCTATTTAAAATAAAAAAGTTGCTGTCAACTTCTGGTACTTCCAGAAGTGCCGCATATTGAAAATATTTTTAATCGATAGATCTCGTTGTGAAACAATGATATGCAAAAAATCTCGGATCTAGATATTGTAGTTCTCTAGAAACTTCTAATGCAGGCTCAGCCTCGGACACCCTGTATAAATACTTGAATTTTTTACATACGTCATTCAATATTTACAAAATGTACATAAGAAGTATATCATTATCTGAACAGACCGGGGGCCACATTTAGCTTCGCCGCCCCTGGCCTCCGACAGGCTTAGTCCGCCACTGAGTGTGGTACCTACCAAATTATTCGTAAAAAAATGCTTCTTCCAAATATGCTAATTGTTCCATTCGAAAAAATTGAGATATGATTAAAAATACGATTTGGGCATCTTTTAACCGGCCAAGACAAGACACGAAAGACATTAGACGGTCAAATCTATTTTTCCAAGGCCCCTTGATTAAACATTAGTGTTTGTAACACAGCCATGGCACTCTAGATTGACATTTAAAATACGATTTGTTTTTAAGCGAAGATGTCAAAAGTTAACATATGATATGTCCTTCTATTCAGAGTGTCACTTTCTATCCAATAAAGCAAAAATATACCAAGGGTGCCATTTAAAAATCAAAAGTTGTAGTAATTTCCGGTGAAACAGGAAGTCGCCAAAAACAATTGAATACGTCAATCAATTCTAATTTATGTCATATACTAATAAACCAAATCTCGTTTTTTTTATCTGAAAAAATAAAAAAGTTATAGGCGGTGATCCACTTTTGAGACGCACCCTGTATACAACTGGCATTTCAATAAGTAACAGTTCAACTGTTATTTATAAATATCAGTCTCCTCTTGTATTCTTTGCAGAGATCAGGAGGAACTCCCTGCTGGCCGAGTTCGCACTCCGTTCAAGACATTCTAGCGGGCGTGCACGCCTTCAGATCACCCCATTCGAGCCCCACAACCACGCTGCCCCCCGGGCCCTCGCCCCCGGGTTGTGACCCCACGCAAAACTACAACTACTACATGTATCTGCAGTCGGGGAATGGCCCCACAGCAGCGGCCATGCATATGGTCAACGGGAGTCACCATTTGACAGGACCCCATTTGTAGAAACAAAGAAGAAAAGTATGAGGGTTAAAATGGTTGAAGCTGATTCGTGGTTTCCATATTAGACCCAATACTATTAATAACAAATTAAAGTTCTACATAGATATACACTCACCGGCATAGAAAACGGACACCTCTTCAGGATTTTCAACGGATTTTCATGTATTTTAAATTTTTATAAATTGTGTTCAAGTGGACCGATTTTGATGATTTTTTTAAGAAATTTGCAGCTAAATTATTGGACTCTCTAGCGCCTCTTTATAAATTAAGAATGAAAATTGCCATCTGTCAGTTATACGGGCGAAAACAAAATTTGATTTTTGGTGAAAGTTTGAAACACCCTGTGGAGTACGGTAACAAAGTAAGGAACTTAAAAATTATTTTAACATCTAGATGTATCTTTTCTCGATAGTTTATTTTTTGATTCATCTCATTACCTTAATTTTTTAAGGTGCCCAGTGGCGTAGAGGTAATACAGGCTCTCGTCTACCAATCTGAAGGTAGTGGGTTCGATTCCCACACCCGGCATTTCATCAGCCGACTATTTTTATTAAAATAAAAATAGTTTAGGTACCTAGGTCGACTCAGCCTTAAATGAGTACTTGGGATTCACAATCCTGAGGTAATAATAGGCGGTTGAAGTGTAGTGCTAGCCACATTACCTTCCTTGTATACCGAACGGCTCTAGTATGGCAAGCTGTACCTTGCTACTCCCAAGGCGTTAAACGCTATATACGGGAGCTATTATTATATTATACCTTAATTTTTTTTTAGATATTCGCTTTTGAAGAAGACACTAACATTTTTTCGTATTTTTTTACATAAAAACCATGCCTTTGCTTTTGGTCCTAGTCAACATGAAATGGTTATGATTTATGTAATGTCACTGTCTTTGAAAAATATATTATTATTGTATGTTGGGCAGTAACTCCAGCAGATATGATTTTAAGTCTAAAAGTTGATCTCTACCATGATCAATTAAAGCAACAATAGCCGATACTTCAGTTACTTAAAACCATCTCTACTAGAGTAAAGTAAACATCAATAAACAATAATAATATGATTTTTCAATGACAGAGACATTACAAAAACAATAAACACAATTTTATAAGTGTACTGATTAGGACCCAAAATCAACGCTAAAATTGCGTTAAAATCGTTACTGTCTTATTCAAAACGAATATCTCCATAAAAATAAAGCTATTGATGCGAATGAAAAAACAAACTATCGACAAAAAACGTACCTAGATGATAAAATGGTTTTTAACTTCCTTGCTTTGTTAACATATTCCAAAGGGTGTTTCAAACTTTCAGCAAAATATCAACGTTTTGTTTTCACTCGTATTGTTGCGACTAAAATGGATACTAGGCTAGTTTTCAAACTAGCCAGCTATTTTGCAAACAAACAACGCAACCACCACCGCAAACTAACACCTAACCAACAAAATAACAGCAATTTTTACAAAATAGCTAGCTAGTTTGAAAACTAGCCAAGTATCCATTTTAGCCGTAACATATTATATAAATTTTTAGATTTTGATAGATGGAAATTTTACTTCTTAATTTAGAAAAAGATACTAAAAAGTCAAATAATTTAACTACAAATTGCTTAAAAAATCATCAAGATCGATCCATTAAAACAAAATATAATAAACTTTAAAATACATTTTAAAAAATAGCGAATATTTTTTTAAGGTGCCCGTTTTTCGTGCCGATGAGTGTATCTATGCCAGTGGGTTAAAATTTTAAAAAAATCTTTAGATACCTGTAAATAAGAAAAAAAAAATATCAAATTTAATTTTAATATTTTTGGAGTTATTTGATCTTTGTTAAATATTAAGTCAAAAATTTAAAACATACAGATAATTTACAAGCAATAAAAGAAAGTATTTTAGACACCATAATTATAAAGTTTTCTATAGGAAGTTTAAACGAATTACGTCTAAATAACCAAAAAAATTATTTAGATGTCATTGGTTTAAACGTTTGACAAAGCTATCAAATAAATCACAAATATGGCTGTCAATTGTCAATATCACTGTCTAAAATAATGGCAATACTTATAGGCGTCGTACTATTAAAACTCGAACTGAAATGTTATTTTTACACCTACTATGATGTCGTTTTCAGTCTATTATACGGTATATTAATACTGTCTATAAATTAGTAAAATACAATATAATACTGTTACTTTACTTACAGCACAATTTCTATTTTAGTTGATACACAGTATTAACAATTACTTTTTCCTATTACACTACAGTTTATAATTATTTTTTAGGCTTTAAAAGTCACAATGTACATAGATATAGGTTTTAGGAAAATTAGATGTGTAAATGGTACCTATTTATTCCAGAAATACAGTGGCGGTCATAAAAGTGCGCACGGCGTATGTATATGTATAATATCTCTGGCAGATACTACATTCCCCTCTTTAGTTCGTAGTTATTTAACACAATATGAGTGAAATAAAATGGCGTCAGCGATGGCTTTGAAATGAAGATCGTTATCATTTTATTTGTAAAATTTGTCATTTTATATGTAAAATTATATGGGGAATTTTATCAATCGTAATTTCCAGGCCAACTAGAAACTGCTTTTTTTCGATCATACGGTATTATTATTTATTAGAAATAGAAAGAGGGATATGTCAAAACTGAATTTTAATTTAGTCTTCTGAAACACATATGTTTTAAATATAGTTTATACTGAATATACAGGGTGGCGCACCTCATTCGCCTCGGTTGATTATACGAAAACGGAAAGATGTAGAAACAAAATATTTTATGGGTGTATGTGGGTAGGTAATCTTCACAATTTAAGATTATTTTGAAATGTACAGGGTGTTTTAGAACTAAGATCCATACCAAAGTTTTATTTTTTCTTATGGAACACCCGGTATTTTATTTCATTTTTGGATTCTTGGGCCCAAAAAAAGGTATTTATTATAAGGGTTAAATATGTTTAAAATCTTTGGTTTTTGAGATATTGAAAGATATTTAAAAATTATTAAAGATACTGCTTTATTTTTCTTGATAAAATAATGAATACTTACTTATTAAACTATTGTAGGTAAATTTAAGTATACTGTTATAAATTATAAATAATAATGTCCATATACTAATGTCGACTTTGAAAATAGTTACTAACTGTCACTATAAAATTGCCATGGCGACACCAGCCATCTTGATTACAATTCTATTTAAAAATCGCTTTTTATTCAAAATCTGAGCTAGATAGGTATAGGAAACACTAATATAATTTGAAAGAGCATTTGAATGTGCTTCGATTTATTTAAAAAAATACGGGGTGTTACATTTGAAATAACAAAGTTTTTATGTAAAATATTTCCTTAAAATAGATCAGCAACTTTTGATAGCCCTGTATAAATTTAAGGAACTAATACCATTTTTCAGTAAAGTTTATTTCTCTACCCTTTAAACTCAGCATAAGAATTAATTCTGAAAAGTAGTGTACAGGGTGTTAATAATCTATTCTATTGTAGCATGCAAATTTAAATATCTTTAAATATTTCAAAAACCAAAGATTTTAAACATATTTAACCCTTATAATAAATACCTTTTTTTGGGCCGAAGAATCCAAAAATGAAATAAAATACCGGGTGTTCCATAAGAAAAAATATAACTTTGGTATGGATCTTAGTTCTGAAACACCCTGTATATTTCAAAATAATATTAAATTGTGCACATTGTCTACCCACATATACCCCTAAAATATTTTGTTTCTACATCTTTCCGTTTTCGTATAATCAACCGCGGCGAATGATGTGCGCCACCCTGTATATTTTTTCCATTTAAATCTTAAAATTCCTATCAAGTTTTTATGTCAATTTTCAAAAGATGACAAATAGGGGTCAGTTCGACAGAAATTATCATCTAATATCATTTTAAAAGCTGTGGTAACGCAGTTTTTTTTATATCGTATGGTATGATTTTTTTAAAAATGTCTATACCTATGTGGCGGATTCATTTCTCCAAAAAAATCGTATATGGATTTTTCGCCACTGCAAGAAAATCTACAAAATAAAATAGTTATTTTATGTAAACACTTCTGCTTAATCCCAAACGGAAACTACTTGTCAGAAGTTAGGTTTAAAGATACCGTGCTGGCAACTGTTACTTTTGGGTCGGCATTTACTTGTGTGGAAGTAAATCGCATAGGGATCTTATTAAGTCGGAGTGAGAGAAATGCGACCGATCGACACGACGAGCGACGGTGTGCTGTTGCGGCGTTGTCGATACGCCTTTCCCTATCAAGTAAAGTAAAATCACGATCGCAAACCACTTATTTTTAAAAGACTTTTTTTTCAAGAGATAACTAGATAAAATCATTAGACATGTTTCTGAGCATCTGAAATGGAATTATAAGGATATCGTTAAGCTGTCATTTTTTTTATAACGAGAAAACGACAGTAATCGCGGTAATTTAAAAACTCAACTTTTTAACACATAACAGGCCATAACTCAAGAACCACTTTAGATATTGAAACTTTTTTTTATTTTCAAAATTCGATAAGGTTGTTTTTTCTATTCAAAAATTGTAAAGAATCCATCCATTTACTTTTAGAGCATAGCAATTTTCAGCAATCGCGTAATTTTTTTATTGATAAAGATTTTCACATACTGTCTACAAAGAAAATACAGCAGAAATATTAACAAAGTTCTTGAAAAAACTACAATCTATTATTTCTAATAGATTTCGAGATATCGATTTTTGAATTCAGAGTCCTAATAGCGCGACCACTATCGAACACCCACTCAATTCCACTTATTTTTACCAAAAATGCAAGTGTTTCTAGCTTGCACTTAAAAAAATTCAAGCTATAGGGAAAACTACAACGATTCGTTAATAAATGAACAAATTAAGTATCACGAGACGTAATTAAATCGTGAAGCTGAACGCATGACGTACACCTTTCCCTAGAACTTTCAGTACTGACAGAGGTATTGATTGGGTCGACCAGTCAACTATGACAAATCTGCTATATCCCCTTCCACGTCTCTTAGCGATGTGCACAATTTCTCGGTTTATTTCATATGTTTGGCAACGTGTTTACTGTCCTCTCTTTGTTCAGTACATTATAAACGCATTGTACTCTTCTTACATACGGAAATCTCGACCCAGGACTAACCTTTGCCAGCCCTTAGTATACAAATTTGCCTAACGAACAAAAAAATGCTTAACGTTTCGGAAAGTTTATCTCTTTCCGTGGTCAGAAGCAGAAAAAATACAAAGAATAAAGAAAAAAAACTATTTAAAATATTTAAATTCAACTATTCGATAACACTTAAAACCTTGTCTTTAAACCTAATTTCTGACAAGTAGTTTCCGTTTGGGATTA